AGTCCTCCTCCACAGGGCTGCTCTCAATTAGTTCTTCTCTCAGCCTGTATGCAAGATCTTCTACCTTGCCCTACAGGTGTTGATCCACCTTTAGCAAACCCTACTTTTAAATCAACAGCCAAGGTGTTGGTTATGAAAGCTCATTGGAAAAGGTAGGTAAATTGAAGTAAGCCAGTGAAACAGAATATATAAATGGAGGGAGGCTATCACTTTGCTCCTGTTCCCTCTTGCATTATATTTTCATTTGCAAGGACCAAGAGATGCGGATAACATTGTTGGATGTATTACAGAAGCCCTTTTTTAGCAAATCCCATTGTAGTTTTTCTGGTAACAGCATGGGAACCAAAGGTCTGGGATTTTACTCTTCTCTTTGTCTTCAGCTTCCTGAGGAAACATAGACAAGTGACTTACCCTTTGTCCCTATTTCTGTTCTTTAACATGAACTTACTGGCCACTCCCCCAGTCAAGGTTGCAATATCCTATGCATTGTTTCACAGAAATTTCTCCGACAAGAAGAAAACTCTACAGCATGAAAGATCATTACCCGTAATCACGTTACCACCCCTGTGAGAAGGTCCGGGACTGAATGAACAGCGTGTGCTGCCGAAACCTGAAGTCAACAAGTGGAACATTTCACCCTGAGAGATATTTTGGGATGTTTCAAGAACATGTCACCAGGAAGCTGCAGTTCAGCTTTATCTGGTTTCTCCACCCCAACCTCTATCCTGCCATTCTAGATGCATTTTAAATGTGGGCAAATGTAATGCGCAGATTTGGATTTGGGAGCCAAATGTGGTAAAGTCAGCAAATGGGCAGAAATAAGAATATTTTAAAAGTCTGAGCATCATTTTGCATCACCTACAACCCTTTCAGCACATAAATAAGAAAAAACCCCAACCCTAAATGTCTCAGCTAATTTAATAAAAGGTCTTGGTTTTCTTCCCTGTTATTTATTTGATTAATGGAAATATGGGTATTTTAGTGATATTTTTAAATGTATTCTTTTTCCTCTCCATTAAGTACTGAAATTAGGCTGCAAAAAAACCAAATACAGGCTTATTTATATTATTAGTGGCTACTCTATAGAGACCCAGACTGATAAGAGCAAGGACACTGTTTCCTCCTGCAAGGAATAAGGGCTGCAATTTCTTCTTTCAGCTGATCACATGAAAGTTAAATGATTTTTTTTCCCCTGAGCCAATAGTAACATTAGTGTTAACAGACAGAAGTCATATTAATTGGTACAAGTTGGATGCTCCACTGAGGTTTGTGAATATCAGATTTTTCCAAATATTTAGAAAAAATGCTTAGTGGTTCTTAATGGAAAAATGGGAATTCTTTGCATGCTTTGAATGGTTGCTGATATATACTCTGAACCATCTTAAACTCTGAGCCACACAAAGATATGAGGCAATAACAATCTACACACAGTGGCTTCCGTGTCCCAAAGAGATTGGTGGGGATGAGGGACAGGCTCATCTCAGCAAGCAGATAAAACTCACAACTTCATGGCTACAGCCAGAAGCTGAAGCAAACGGGCAGCACTGGAGATCGTGCCCTGGTCCAGCTGAGTTCCTGGGAGCAAAAACCAAACTGCCCCTTTAAACAGCAGTCACCCTGTCCCACCCCAATGTCCTACACAAAGGGCAGTGGAATAGGAGGAAAGCCAGAAGAATCTTGCCCAGAGCTTCATCCTGAAAGTCCTCTGGAGAAATTAGTGCTCCCTTCAAATGGGGAAGGTACCCAGACAACAAATTGGTAGTCTGTGTATGGTGGAAACTGAAATAGAAGTCTCTTGCCCTTGCTCTCCAAAGACCAGAGCTATCATTTAACTAATTGAAAGCCTCCTCAAAGCTACTCATTTGATTTTATTTTGCTTTGGTTGTTCTGTAGCAAGTTTGACAACGAGGGCACTTTGCAGGCCTGTGTGTACAGCACGTGTAATTAAAGTCAACAGGAGTTATGAAATCTTTAAAACTGAGCCAGGGTGGCTAAAGCCAGTCACCCAAAATTAGAAGCAATGCTTGAAAATCCAGGTCACGTTCTCTGTGGGTTTGGGTTACAGCATCACCTAGGGGCTGCAACTGAGATTAATGCCTACTGATCCTGGACCTTACAGGGTACAGACAGACTTGGATGCTTCCAAATGTCCAGACAGACTGTAATCATTGTCACAGAGACTACAGTGAAACAGGCCCTGAGCATTTTGATGAGAAAGTTCATCTGGTAGATTTACATATATATATATATATATATATATATATACACACACACAAACACACACAAGTATTTTATGTATTTTTTAAAGCCAGAACCACTGAAATACTGGAGGGCACAGCAGTTGTAGAACATACTTTGGATCACTGCCATAGGAATGCTACTGCTGTAAATTCCCCTACTCTAAAAACATTAAATAAGCCATACAGTTATTTCATGATCATCAGCAAACTGAGATCCTCGAAAACGAAGAAAATTAAGCCCATGTGTATCCTTAGCATAGTCTGGCAATTACATTGCTGCTGATTATAGGAATCTAATGTTTACAATTTGCATTCTTTCCCACACTTTCTTTTTTTCCTACATTGAAGTAAAAACTCTCTTGGTCTTACCATAGTATAATTTAGACTGTTAAGGGCCCGACTACTCCTCTGTGAGAGAAAGCATCCAAGCATGAGAGACCAATTCTGGTCTTTTGTTGAGAGACGATGGAAACACAAGAAGATAAAGTCCAAATTAAAGACACAGGATGGAGCTGGAAATAAAAATTGATATCCAAAATTTCAAAAGTCCTTTGAGATAACCATGACTTGGACTCATCTTTAGAGTATGAGGGAACTTGATGAATTTTACTGAGCAGTTGTCTAAAGTGAACAGAGAGGAGAAAAACATGACAGACTTGTGCAGGATCTGCTCTTTGTGATGTTCTGGAGACGTATACCAAACTGTATATTGCCAAAAGCAACAGCAGGTCTAGAATTGTCCAGAAACAAGAACAAAAAATAACATTAAAAGTACTTTCTCCAGACCCAAACTGGGTTTCTAGAGCCAGCCTTGTGGTTTATACATAGAACTCTCACTTACTCCAAAAAAACCTGGCAGCAGCAGAGCTTGACTATGGACTGGCTTCAGAAGGGGCTCATGCACATGAAACCAGCACAGGGGAAGGCACCTGAGGTGCACCTGCAGCCACAGACACAGCACTGACAGATGACTGAACAGGTATAAAGATAACAGACAACGCACCTTGTTGGGCATAAGCCAGGAGTCTGGTTGTTCTTGTGCTTTTCAGCCCAGCGTATGAAGAGCTTGTGGTTTTTTAGTCGTACTTTCTTTAAGTAATGAGGTTCATCCCCAATTCCTGACCGTTCAAAAGCAAATGCAAAGTGAGTAATGTGGGCAGGTGTTTGTTCAAAACACATTTCCACTTTAAGGTAACTACCTTAATTTGCTGAATTAGGACCTGGCCCTAACAGGTCTCCAGAGAACAGAACTGTGGTTTAGATAAGAAGGCAGACCAGACCTGCAGGGAGAGGGAGCCAGAGTACTGTAGCAGGTATTTTGAGCATACGAGGCTTAAAATCAGCTCCGAAACCTCTGGTTAAACCTAATTGTGTAGTCTTTATAGTGCTCCAAAACTGTGGGAACACAGTGGCACAGGAATGTTCTTAGGACCCTGCACATGTTAGTAGGATGTAGTTGAATGTGAGCGGACACCAAAGTAGGCATGGACACCAATATCTATTTCAATCGCTATGATGCCAGCTTTTGTCTCCAGCTTCCAGCCTGTGTCAAATCACATGATTTAAATAGCATGCAAGTTGTGTTACAGGGCAACTGAGTAGAAATGAAGCCATCTGGCCCATTTGGCCCTGCTGTGTCAGGATATTAGAGCTCCACCCACTACTGAGATACAAAAAAAAGATTGATCCTTCAAATGTAGTAGAGCCCAATGCTTACAAAGGAGTACATTTTTCAAGTGGAAGCAGAGGGGAAGGTATCAATCTCTTCACCCTCATGATCAGTGACAGAAGTCAAGGAAATGGCATGAAGCTGAGTCAGGGGAGGTTTAAGTTGGATATCAGGAACAGGGTGTGATTGGGTACAGGAACAGGCTCCCTGAGTAGTGGTTACAGCACCAAGCCTGACAGAGTTCAAGCAGTGTTTGGACAATACTCTCGGGCACACAGTGTGATTCTTGGGGTGCCCTGCACACGGCCAGGAGTTTGACTCAATGATCCTGATTGGTCCCTTCCAACTCAGCATATTTCTATGACTCAATGTAGTAAGAAGTGTTCTGTGAGAGGGGTGGCTCTTACAAATTGTTTAATCAGGTATTTTCTCACCCTTCAGAAGAGATTTACAAGCTGAACAATTACCTCTTAGCTCTTTTTCCCAGGGAATGAACAAGCTTAAGTTCTGGCTATTCCTGATTTTTACTACAACCTCAGAATTTATGGGCTCTCTATAAATCAGTATTCAAAAAGATAAGTCATGTTGAAGAAAAGCCCTTCCCAGAAAGGCAGAAAATCCCAGTATTCAATGTCGGTATAGAGAAGGAACTGAGGAAGAAAGGGAAAGCTGTGCTGCTTTACACAGTAGACAACAGGTCAGTGCCAACAGCAGAGAAGCAATCACCAGCTCACAATAGGTTTTAGGTATTAAACTTGGAAACTGCTGTTGTGGAAACTGTGCTAGCAGTAAAACCCAAGGCAAAGTGTTTCTGAGACTCAATAACACCTTTATACTGGCAAAAGTTTACTTTCCACTAGCCTGTCTTACAGGTCTTCTACAAGAGGTCTCACTTCCTCTTTGAAGGTCTGCCATGAGAACGTCTTGCAACTCAGCTCTCCCATGCAAGAGTAAAACAAATCCAGAAAGAATAATTAAGACAAGAACTTATCCTGTATACTAGAAAAACTTCAGAAGGGGTAATGTAACTGTTCATATTGTCAGATCTGCTGCTCTGAAATAATAAATGACAGCAAAACCTTAGAGTGCACTGTAAGCTGCTCAAGAACCACTGTATTTGTCAGAATGCAATTACTTAGAATAAAACATAACAGCTTCTAAAAGCAGTATGTAATCATTTCATATGCCTTACAGGTACAGACAAACACACATATTGGTGACATGGGTTGATTTACTCAATTATTGCAAAATACAATACTTTGCAATCAATACAGAGCAACTCTATTCAAAAACTATTAAATATGTGGCAACATCTGTGTCCTCTTGTGATAACAAAGTAAAAAATATTAAAGTTTTAACAGCTGGAACATGAAATTATGATCTTCACAGAAGAGTAACAAAAGAATTGGTTGAAATCACACTTCAAATATTTAATTAAATGTGGTGTATGATCCATGCAGCAACTTTAATACTAGAATTCAGTACTCAAGGCTAGCTCTAGTTCGTTGTACACCTGCATTTTAAAACTTTCCATTTTTATTTAATCCACTGCTTAAAAGTTCTTGCCACTACCCTCTGCTTACACCACCCTGCCTTGAATTAGCCTCCCTTCAATGACTGCCACCACTGATGGTCAGCCTCTGGAGAGCCAATTTCGATCTCTCCATAGCAGCAGGGGAGATCACCAGAGGACAGGGAAAGGAAGGAACATTAGAAGCAGGAAAGTAGGAATGAGTGGCTGTGACAGAACAAGTAGTTGAAAACAGGACAGCACATCCATGACTGTTGCCAAATACTGTTCAAGCAGCAGAACTCATACATGGATGTTTGTTGTTAAACAGCTCAGTGATTTGTCATTATAGGTGTTACACAAATACACAATTCAGCAATAGCACAGTAACTGATAAAACTGAGATCACTAGTTTTACAGCAGTGATCAAAAGCACCTTTCTAATGCCTTCCAGTGTAAAGCTCACGTCCAAAATGATGGGCTGAAAATACAGTTGTCAGTCAGTGGAGGACTTGTGAGAATTCCAGCCAGAACTATGATAGAGGAGACAAAGTGCCATTTTCCAAGCAGTACTTGAATAGTTTACTTAAGTTTCACCTCTCCCTAGCCATCCCTCTTTTAAAGTAAAAATAAAACAAAACAACAAACCCCAAACCAAACAAACTACAAAAAAAACCCAATCAAAAAACTCCAACAACCACCCAACCAAAAAAACCAATCAAACACAAAAAAATTAAAGTATAAAGACTTAATTGGAAATATCTTTAAAGGTGTTGTCAAACAACATTTCTTCAAGGCCAAGCAGTCATAACAGTATACAGAGGTCAGCTTCCAACAAGATGACACTTCATATTAGCCTTTCCAATATTTTTAGGGTGCAGTTCAGCAGTGTGAGCACCAGGTCTGCGTTTACAAAATATATGTTTGTCCGCACAGGCAAGTAAATATGGTACTTCAGCACGTGCTTACACATGTAAGCTCTGCATACATACTTGGTGTGTATACACCTTACAAGTACAAAACAGACTCTCACCTTTGAAAACCACAGTACTTGAAATATCTAAACCATTAGACTTTAAATCTCTTGCTTTGGTATTGAATCAATAGAAAATTTACAATGCCATTTTTCAGTCTTACACAGACTGAGTTATTAGCCAAGGAAATAAAAAAGTAGTAAGTCTCAGTATCCAAAGAAATCTACAGATACATTCATCAATATGTAGTACATTGTGAACAGGAAGGCAATATGTGGAACTGCTATAGCATGAATGAAAACCAAGTAGTTGTAGGAGAGCCTGAAAATCTTCCTTACATTTTTCTCATGTAGCAGTTAATGTCACTGTAGCAATGATGATATTGCAGCTTCTACTGTGTTACTTTCCAAGTTGTACAGTTATGTTTGATTGAAGAGAAGGGTGGGAAATGAAAGGCCTCTGAGGAGTTCAGCAGCAACATTTAAGTGCATTGAAAACATTGATAATCTATGGCACATAGGAACTGATGGATTACACAGGATACTTTTTTCTATTTACAGTATCATACACTTGTATAAACTCTCTGCTGCATCTTTTTTTTAGTACTTAGCCTGTGGCAAATCACAGTAATATTATTCAAAGAAAAAGGAAATCCCATTTTCACATAAAGACTAAGTAATTAATGGGTATTACTTATCCTTGCTTAAGCTATCTACCCCTCTAAACACCTTGAATCCCAAAATTTAATTGGCACAAAAACATTTGCATAACTTAATACAGGAACTGATTGCTCATGATTGTTTACCTCTTGACTTAATAACTACATTCACTGTTGGAGATTTATACACTGCCAAGTGTCAGAATTAATACATTAAAAAAAAAAAAAAGGCAACAAAACAACACCCAGATAAAACGTAAACCTCACACAACCCTCAGAAAAGAAACCTCCAAAATTGCAAGAAAGAACAACTTTCTGCTGGGTGTCTGATGCATGATAGGAAACACCAAAGCAATGGGGTATTATATCACAGTTACCTCATGCTGCCTCTAAGGCACCAAAGACTATAGCAAGTCTTCACAAATAATTATGGAGATAATAAGCAATTCAGCTTCAGAAAAAAACTGCCTTATCACCAAGCTCAGTGGGGCATCTGAGCCTTCAAAGCAGTTTCTGATACCAGTCTGAAAACAATGGGATTTCTGGTTCCAGCTGAGATGGAGGCAAAAGAAGGGAGTGGGAAGGACCATTGTACACAATGTGGCACAGCTGAGAAAATGACATATTTACACTTGAAAAGGCAAAACACACTGCACGTAAAGGAGGAAAACCAATGAAATAACAGGACATCTGTCTCTGAGGAGTCAGTACAGGAGGCATGTCCCTCTACTATGGAGCAGGTTTTTATATATGTATTTTAAAAACTCAGAAGAAATTGAAAATGTATCAATCAAGCAGAAGGACAGTACAGAACAAAAAAACCCTGAATATCAATTTCATATGCTTTACAAGAAACCTGGACATGAAATTTTTACTAACTGTTGTATGGAACAAGTAACTGCTTCTACTAACTGTTGTATGGAGAAGTTTTGTTGTGACACTCAAAAAGAAGGGCAGGGTTGCTTTTAGTCAAAGGATTCCATACTCTTGTAGAAAACAACAAAAACAGTAAACCAAAACAAACAAACAAAAATCTAACCAACCATGCCAACTATCAGTTTACTAACCTTTGTGTTTAAGTCCTCAACTAAGATATTAAAATGCACTTGCAACTTCTGAACACAAAATAGGGTGTACCTCCTATGACAAAAGTACACTTTTTTTCCAGCACACCCTTCATGAGCTTTTGGTGCCACATGCTGAAGAAACAAGATTTACATCAGTGAATGGCAAGTATCAGCAGGCAATTATCTGCACTACACTGGTGGCTCCATCTTCATCATCCTTTTCTTCAACTTCCCCCTTTTTAAACTTTTTAATTTAAAAATCCACCTTCCATTTGGCAATTCAGAGCCGTGTCTGATCTTCATGACCTCTGGTCACACTGTAGGAAGTCTTCAGAGACCATTCTTATTTCTTGCCAATTCCATTTGATACTTTTGATTTGGAGTGCCGATTCCTCCTTCTAGATGAGTGGCTTTCACTATTGACTGAATGTTTTGGTGGACTACTGTCAGCACCTGCTGAGAAAGAAATACTTTTTTATTATACATATAGTTGACACTGTCAAGCTCTTCTCTGAAAGACAGTAATGCCTTTGAGAGCTACAGTGTTTACAGTATGGATTATTTCAGGCTAATACAAACTGTTGATACTTGTACTCCATCTAGTGGCCTATATTTTTTTTAAAAAGTAATTCTTAAGACTCCTGTAAAATTCTTCCTCCACCAAAAAAAACATAAAATCAGAAGTTTGCTATAGCAGAACACAGTGGTGAAACATTTTCCGTTTAAAAATCACATCAATAATTAAACTTCCACATTTTTCTTAGTGGCAGGTACTACTATTAGAAATTAAGAACTTTGTAAACACTGTCACAGGTCCTTGCAAAAGTACATTTCAGGTTTTCATATGACAGGCTATGTTTGACACTGAGAAAACAGAGGGAGACAGAGGGGACCAAAAGAAGAAATCAAAGCCAAAATGTGAAAGAGGCTGAAGTTTGTAATTCATGAAGTAACAGGAGGTCAGAGAAAGACTAGCTTGGCCAGATTTCTGCAGCAAACATATACAGGAAGAACATTTTGAGTGCAAGTAATTTTTCTCAAAAATATAGAAGTCCACAAATCTACTAAACTGAGAATAAACATCCAGAAAAACCATGTATGAAATATAAAGAAGCTCTGCTGTAGGTGCTTTGCAAGCATGTGATGAACAAGAAATATTTTTAATGATACAAACACGTGGAGCATAAACTCTGACAGAGATAACTTCCAGGTTTGAATAAGCAAGACCACACTAAAGAGCCAAACGAGGAGGCAGATAACTGACTTCTCTAGTGCAGGGAAAAGAAGTCAAAAGGAGGCTGCCTTTGCTTAGTATAGAGAAAGCTGTTTATGACCATCAGCACTGCACTGACTAGGCAAGTGTCAGTAAGAACACAAGCTCCTGGGCACATTCTTGACTGTTTCTTAACAGGCAGAAATAAAAGCACAATTCGCATTAATATGTTTCAAATCAAACATGAAACGTTCAGAGAGAAAACCTGTCCAAAACAGTTACAAAATGCATAATGCCCAAAACCTACAAGAATTACCTGGAGTAACAGCAGAAAAATTCAGTTGATTCATTAAAAAATACTTTTCCAAGAGTTAGAATAAAAAAGGCAGTAAAGCAAAATAGCTTTGCAGATGATTTATCCACATAGCTCCTGCAGGGATATTAAAATAAGTCCAGCTGTTTTCTAGGTAAGTTTCTCAAGCCTCATTTTCTAGTGTTGAGCCTTAATGTTACCATTTCAAGAGTATAGCTCCAAAAGTGCCAATACCTGTGGTGAATTTAGAATGAAGCCAGGAAGCATCTGGACTGTAAGGACTGTCTTCACTTTCTGACAAGGTCTGCAAAAACAAGGACACGTGTCATTAGGATGCTGATGGTTCTTGTGATCAGTATTGGACTTGTAAACTTAAACTGTGGCAGAAGTCCTCATAAAACATTCATACAGTACTTCAGACTTTTCCCTTCCTATTTAGAAGGTACAAAATAGATGATACAATAAGAACTCACCACTTGCCATGTGATCTGTTGTGTAACCACGTATTCTTAATATTCCCCTAGCATTCCACCTGTACAATGGGAACATTAACTAACCATTCATCCTTGAACGCTTTCCTAAAATTACAGCCTCATTTTGAGCAACTAAGAGGACAGCATTCTTTAGAAACCACAGTGTAATTTGGGATCTGTCCAAGGCCTGCTGAATTCAGAGCTCTTTCTATTGACTTCAGTTAGACTCTGGACCATCCCCCCCTCATCCCCATTTATAGTAGCTCTGGTAAAGAATTCTAATATTTAGGAGCTTTGCAGTTTTAACTGTTATAAAACAACACCAGGCTTCTTTAATTTAAGTACCTTTTCTCGGTGGCCGTAGTACTCTGCATACCAAACCATACCATACAGACAAAGGAAAGTTGTAAAGGCCTAAACAAGGGAGGAGAAGAAAAAGAAAAAAATAATCTGTAAAACTTTTTCAAAATTCCTTGCTGGTTCAAGGTCTCAGAGTCCCTGGAGATTTCACATTCAGATTTTCATGCTCTGTTTCTCCCTGTATCTTTTGTCAGATGAGTAAGACTCGTGCTTCAACTTCAAGGTACCCATGGATTCTGCCACCATGGGGTATGCAGACCAATTCTCAACAGGAGCATGAAAATACATACAGATCACTCACAGTGCCAGCATGATTTCTGCCCACACCCTGACCAAAGCAGTCAGTAGGCACTTGTACTTATATTATCAAGAACAACCAGTCTAGGAGAAAAATGAGCTCTCCTTCTCCCTACCCCATACTTCATGCTAGGCTACATGTTTGCTTTTGTGGTGCTCTGATCCGGGAAACAATGCAATACTTTTCTCTTCTGAAGCTTCAGGAATAAAATTAACATGCTAAATAAGAGAACAATAAATTCTGACTCCCCATCACCTGTTTAAATTGTGTTCCCAACTAGAAGGGAGAAGTATTTATCTGTCAGCCCATTATAAATGCCTTATTCTTCACTGACCATAAAAAATGCGTTTGGCATCAGAGTTACAAGTCTGGCAAGACAAACATCCATTTACTGTTATAAAATGGGCATTTCATGCTGCATTTGCAGTAATCACACTGAAGTACAGAAAGTTACGGGCTGAGTGCGAATGATTTGCCTAATAGAGCAGGGTTGTTTATGTACTTGTAAGACTTCAGTGTGACACAACACACATTACTTATTAGCACTATCCATTAACTCCTGTTCGCTTCCAGCAGGCACTACAGCAAGCACCACCAAAGTTAGGCTCAGTTGAACTGACACCTTCCCTCATTAGGATAAAGCATCCTAAAACTAGAGTTTGTTTCACTGTCAAGCACTAGTCAAGTCACTATACTCTGCTGTTTCAAGAAATAAGAAAATAAGTTATTCTAGTCCCTTCAAAGTGAGCTCTAAGCAATACAGTATTTGCTTTTTCCAGGACATGTACAGAGCTCTTTACCAGCATTTCCCCACAATTATCCCCTGCTGCCAATGTTCCAGAGGAAGCTATTTAGATGCTTTCAATGCTTTTCTCATGCTTTATGTTTCACATGAGGAATCTCACTTACCACACAGAGAAGCCAAAACACAACATACAGTATTTGTGTTTTGGAAAAAAGATCTTGTCCAAACTTTATGCACACAATAGCTTCAAGGAAAGCAATAGCCCTGTGGATAAATGAAACACAGGGGAGAGTGGTTACAAACACTAAAGATTTAACTCATGTGATCACAACCAAGACCCCAGACTGTCAGCGCTAAACAAGCACTACCCTCTAGTGAGCACACACCTCCCTGACACCACCATTAACCGAAATTTTTTGAGAAATTTCTTTTTCCTTCTATACTTTTTTCAGCATAAACAGCACACACGAACTGGAAGTTTACTGTTCTGTGGGGCTCCAGGGAACAAGCAGGAGCGTGTGCCAATAGCAGAGAATTTGTACCTATCACCATTGTGCTTCAGCTCTCACCAGATATAAATTTCTTTTCCATGCTGAACATCCAACAGACTTCCTTGATGGATCAACTAGACTATGCTTTGTGTTATTTCTCTACTGGATGTAAATTTACTAGAAATCTAAATTTGCTTGCCTCACATGGATTTTGATGAGAAAACTCATAAGAAACAACATTTCAAATTCTTTGATAATTCATGCATTTGCTATGGTTTATCTGTAAACTCAGGTCCACTAAGCATCAGAGGATTTAGGGAGAAATGTGAGAGCAAAAAAATTCAGTTTTTACTTTCCTCTCTGACACTGAAAGAATAAAAAAAGTATCTCCATCTCTCTCCCTGTCAGCACTCCTTTTCAGGTTCAAAGCTACAGAGGCTTGTCCACCACTTGGTGTGGAACACGGAGTTATGAATCCAAAGCTTCCATCACCTGCCATGGAAATAAATTTAGCTTGTATAGCTCTTGAACACAAAATCAGATACATTTAACAAATACGAGAGTAGAAATGTGACTGGTGCAGCAAAAGTGTAGAAAAACTACTTGTCTCAATCTGAAGCAAATTATGAAAAACACTATTAAATTCATGGAAGTTTAACACTTAACTTGTTCAATAGAGACGTTAAGGTCGTACATACGATCAGTGCACGAACACTCCTCCTCACACATGTGCAGACACACTTAACATCATGTGAAGTGTTCCAGTCTCCCAGGCTTGATACTGCAGGACATATTTCCTACCAGCACTCTCCAAAACCAGGGAGTTCCCAAAAATGGCACTACTACCTGTCAGAGACGACCCAGTTTCCTCCCACGAAAGGAGGAGGAAAGACATGTGCTTGATTAAACCACTGGTATTGCAGAGATGGTCCTGGTGCACCATAAATGAGAGCTTTCTCTGCACTGTCTAATGTGATTTGCAGCATGATGAGTGGGGCCAAAACTTACAACTGTGGAAGTAACACCCAACTGATTAACACTAAAAACTAATGAAGTGCATATTAGTAAAAAAATTGAGAGCAGTGTTACTCTGTTGGGTCATCGACTATTTTGCTTTCTTGGTTTTATATTATTCTTACTGATTCAGCTCCAGAGTAAAAAACAAATCATTAAACCATACTACAGCAGTGGGAACAGAAAGACTACCACCAAAAAGTGGTGTGGAACAAAGGAAACAAACATAGGATTGCAATATACTCAAAGGTATAAACAAAACAATACAGTACTTTCAATAACAACTCAAAAATGATACAGTTGTTTGTCTGGCATTTATACATTCTTGCTGTTATTTCTGTCAAGAATACTTGAGTTAAGCACACAGTACAATGGGACAGCAATTACAGTTTATGAAGTGGTAAATCAAAAACAGAAGAATGCTGTGAAAGGTGAAAAGTGTTAATGTTCTACTGAAGGGTGATGAGAATACTTGTTAGAACTAAAGACAGTAAGTTTTTATTCAATCCAAATGGTCTAGTAACATCCTAATAGATATTCCTTTTTGGAAGGCTTCATCTTAATAAAAATGGTTTTTGAATGAATGAAAATTGCAGCAGGGCTGTTGCATTGGCCTTCTTCATGCCTTATATTATTTATCAAGAGTGATGCTTTAGTGTATGTCAAGTTGAAAAGAAACAGCTTTGTACTAATAAAAGGTACTAATTTTAATTATTTCCATGGTTAGGCTGTTAAGAATTCAATTTGTGCCTTTAGAAGTGTGCCTTGGTCACCACATATATGAATATTCTACATACTTGCTTTTAATTGCTTCAGAAATTATATTCTAGATAATTAAATTACTTGAAAATTTCTGCTTTTTCAGCAAACAACAGGAACTCAGCACAGCTCTGTTTTTTTAATCAGATTACAGAAGCAAGCAGTATTAAGGAGAATACTTATTCCATACACATTTCCCACTAGCAGATCAGACTGTGGGTGAATATTCTATTGTGGTTCTTATGCGATCGTAGAGACATGTTTGGGCATCTGCGTATCGACACATATGACATTAATGTGTTCAGTGAGAACTCTGAACCGAGGATGATGGTTTCTGTAATCCTTAACAACTTTTCAGAGCCACAAGGCAAACATTCACCCTTCAGTTTACAAAATAATATATTTACATTCTTTCCTTTGGATGAAGTGGAAGTCCATCTTCCTTTCTTTTTAAAGCATAACTTGAAAATTCTTCCCTCAAAATGATAAAATTGTTTAAAATGTGTCTTCTGTAAGACTCTAAAATTACCATATATAGTCGAAAAAATGTCCTTTCCCACATAAACATCTCAATTTCTAAATAATTTAAACACATATTTCAGTGCCATCTATATTCAAATGCATATCTGCAAAATATTAATACAGTTGATCAGTAACTGCTAGGATACTCATACACCAACAGAGAATTTCTATCGGCATATTAGGTAGTCATATTAATTGTGTGATTAATTAGTTATCTTTAGTACTAAAACTAAACAAGAACAGAATTTCCTTTTCAATGTCCCCTGGACGTTACAGTCATGAGTTGAAGACAGTAACAGATCCATTCAGGAATCAGAGAATCATAGAATCATCCAGATTGGAAGAGACTTTTAATATCATCCAGTCTGACCATCAACGAAGAAGGAAGGTGATAACTCAGTGAAAGAGATGAATATTTAAGGCCAGACAAGCCCAAGGAGACATGTTATGGTCTCCAGGGTACATTTATAGAAAGACTAGAAATTCCTTCCATTACATTGCAGCAAGTTGTGCTCTGAACTTAACTAAATGTTGAGAAAGGGGCACTCTTTAGACTGCTGTAGAGCATGTGGAAACATGCCTTCCAGCCCAACACAGTCTTAAGGATGTTAGTTTTAGGAACAAACAGTAAAAGTGAGATAAGTTTGCCAAAGCACTGTTTCTAAACTAGATATGAGTATTTTATGACTCACTGTAATGTCATTCCAATTTAAAACAGTAATAGACTCTTCTATAAAACATGAAGATCATTCAGACAACTCTGGAAATAAGATATACACTAATCTTGACAAAGAGAATGAAATGGCTATTTTAAATTAAAATCATTACCATCAGAAATTAGCTTCTTGAATAGTTTCTTAATTTTTCTTTTTTCTTTAAGATATAATTTAGGATCTTTCCAAGTCCTAAATCAAAAGGGACACTACTGCATTGCTTGGTCACTAGAAGCTTTTACAATGCTACAGTAGCATTGTAAAAAATAAGCTTCAGGTTTCCAGAACACTACGGTTTAGTCAAGCCATCTAGAGAAGGAAGTTCTCACCAGAAGCAATCATGCAAACTCTTCATTTAAAGGTCTGCTCCAAGAGACAAAGAGATTGTAGCCAAGGTAACCATTGCTCACAGCACCATTCCACAGAAACAGTTGATCACTGCGGTTTGTTTCACTGTCTTCTGCTGTGATTCTGCTAACTGCAGCAATGCCCACTGTGACAGCCAGGGAAACATTACTTGTACAACCAGCTGTAGAGGCAAAAGCTCTATCCTTCTCACCTGACTGAGAATACGGGTAGCAAGGCCAATGCTACTCTGAAGGAGCCCCTACCTTTATCCAGTCTTCCTTCTGTTCTTCTCCTTACTCATTCCATCACTTCTCCCATGTTCTACCTCCAAATTCATAGTTTTCCTCTCCTCTGAACTTGCAAAATCAAAACCAACACAAGACAAGGACTGGTTTCATGGAAAGCCTGTTCCTGTGCTGGACCCATACTTAGCACTTATCCAAGTGCTCCAAGAATGCAGCAAGAACACTTACCCGAACACCCAGCACTGAGTTCCCACCCTCTTGCACTGTGTGTCTGTGAGGTACGCATAGTATTGCCTGAGAAGGGAAGCAAGAGAATTCTTCAGTGAAGTTGAAAGACCGCAGAGTCATTACATTTAGAAAACAACTTTATGTTACAGATGTATCTATACTGAAAATGAAGTGCTGATGGTTAAATTCACATGCAGTCATTTTGGATGTCTACCAGATGGCTTCAGTTCCAGTGGGACAGATTATCACACAGATCAAATAGCTTGAAACAACACAGAAAATAACCCTGAGACTGAGGACTGGGAAAGTCCCCAAACTAGTAGGCTAACAAAGCAACAAATCTGTTTCCTGCTTCTCCACTGAATCTCCAATTCTTATGGGCAAAGTGCAACAGCTTTGAAAGAATTAGAGAATCCCCCAGTTTTTCCACAGTTTGTCTTTATTAACAATTGCATTTTCTTGAAAGATGTGGGTTTGAGTCTTCAAAGAAACTGAATATGGCTATTCCATATCCTGTTTGAGTGGTCTAACCACCAGCATATTTTCCTCTCAAAAACAGTAGAATTTCTCACTATTTTGAAAACAATCTGGGGACCATTCTGCCCTAGTCTTTATGATCTGGAATTTTAAGAATTTCTAGAGCAGAAATACAAAGAAGTGGAACCAAAGTTTCTTTTCCCAGTCTCTGATTTCCACTGATATATGAGGAAGACAAGTGTTATTATTCCAACAATACAAGGATTGCTAAAGAATAAAGACTTCCACAGGCGTGCAAGTGCCATAAAAAACCCCTTAAAAGTGCACCTACACAAGAGCTTACAGGTTTAATGTGATTCTCTGCCTCTAACTTCAGATTTGTGTGCATTCTGTCTACTGCCAACTACGGCACGAGAAAAGAAGAGAAAATTAAGGTACTCTGATAATAACATGAAATCACATGCATGACTAAAAGCAGATTAATGTTTCTATACAGCTGTTAATGCAGCATATATACTGTTCTGTTCTCGCAATATGCTACTGCTTTCTTTTAACACACTAATATTTCCTGTAGACTGACATAGTAAGGAGCTAGAAAAACAAAATAGCTCTATTTTTCCATCTCAACACTTTTGTGAGCACCTGACTCATTAACTTGGATACTTTCACATGCAGTCCTCAAGGATAACGTACACAGTTAACTCACAAAACAGGGAGGTGTTATGGAATAGAAGATGGAACAGATTAGTTCTGTACCCCTATGGCAACACAGTTGTTTATATACATTTTACCTCAGTTCACTTGTCAGAAAACACATTTTATTGAAAAATTACGATTGTTTTGTTTTTCATGGTGGCAAAAGCATAAATTTCTTGAAATGTGCCATACTTATTCACAAACTATATGCAATTCTTGGATGCCTAGAAGTTAAACTGCTTTAAACTGAAGAAAAAAGCACTTCATCAAAAAAATTACCTTACAGTGGGTGCTGTAATGATTCCTATGAAGAGAATTCTCCCCCAGCTTAAAGGGTGGCTTGCTTGGAACACAAAGATATGTTTCAAAAAGAATGTGTTCAATTCAGTCAGCTAGGGAAAAAAAAAAGGTGGTTAATAGTATTCAACTTACAGAACTCCTAATGAATTAGTACAGAAAATGTGCAAAGATAATAATACGGAAACTAAAACATGGAAGGAAAACTATTTATGCTCTACTATAACCCTGCTAGTTAGATTGAACATTTAAAGAGTCTAGGACTCCTGCTCTAGGACAAGCAAGGAATATACAAGTAAAAAAAACAGTATTCTCCCCTAGACACCATTATGAAAGTATTTGCTATCTTTCCAGAAACACATTAAGGGACCAGACACTCATTCACACTGCAGAGGTCTTCTGAAAACTTTCATATCCTAAATCAGGTATGAATGACCAAGGCAATTTTGGGAAAGAAGCAGAAGAGATCATATATTAAAAAGAAAAAATTGAAAACTCCTTTTAGAAACTAAATTAGTAAAGAAAAAAATTTTAAAAAGTTTTAGTTTTATTTTCATGATGAAGTACCAAAGCAACTGGGACATATAATAGAATGAAGGCCAGTATTGTGAGCATCACTGATCCATTCACCAGTCAATGGGAAAGTAAAAAAAACCACAAAACAAAACAAACAACCAAAAAATCCCCCAATCATCAACACAACAAAACCAAAATAAATTAAAAATCCACTATCTCAAGCCCCCACTGTTTAGCAGTTTTTAAAACTGTATCAATTGGGAAGAGCAATCTGATGGCTTGTACAGCGATCTGTAACATTTGGGTTCTTCCACAGGTTCTGTAATTACACTCATGAACTATCATGTAACTCCTGTGAGCAATATCCTGACCCATTGTGTACTATCAATTCATTTAATTGTGTATTTCAATGACAGACCTACATTGCATTAGAATATCTTCTAGGCTAACACAGCCAACAAGTAACTGAGCTGATGGCAGCTTTGATACCACAGAATTCATTTCTTACCTGCCAAATGATCATGAAAAGGTAGATTCCAGCCACTCTCTGAAATGATGACTTTGGGTCAAACCAGCGGACATAGGTCCAGCTGGCGGGGGTGAACTGTAATACAGCTCTTTTGATTTTCCCTGTGGTTGTGTGAATGTCCCTAGAAAAAAAGAATGGCTGGAGTAAATACGAGGAATATGTAAGGAAAAAAAAAAGCAAGAGCCGTGTTACTGATGTCGTGGAACAACCGCACTTTTTTGATGGACAGCAGAGACCTTCACAGACACAACTATGTACAAGGGTGAATTAAGAAACTAAGCATTTCAGTCAGGGTGCTATTCTGCTATAAAAGCCCACCCTTCTCTATCCTCAGTCACTAACTACAAAACATATTAATCATCCTCTCCACAAGGGAAAGAAACAAAGACTGCAATTCTGCAACCCCCTTGGAAAATCTGGAGGATATTTCTTCCTAGTCTATGCTGCCACTACTCTTATCCCAAAGACTCCTTGTGCTAGAGCTCAGTGACATCAATCCTTCAAGAATCTGTCAGATTCATTATTCATTCATTGTATAAAGGGGTGGCTCCACACGTTTAAAAATACTACACTTCCAGTACATATAACCCCTGCTGTTCTGATATGAGATGCACGTGGACCTCCTGGAGAGGTAAGATAGCACTGTTAAAACCTAGACAGCTATTAAATTCCAAATTGAAAGGGGATTTTAATGAAGGCTCATCTGACATATGTATTACTGGTTGGGTCTTGCTTTTGATAACATTGACTGAGATGAGCAACAACATCTAAAGGACAGGGAATCTAAGAAAAACTCAGTTTCTTTTTCTGAAGGAAGACTAGTAGGACTAGAATTCAGTTTTCACCTGGTAATTTCTCTGGCCCTTCTAAACAAAATACAAGACTCAGATTTTATATTTCTGATACTTGTGTTCTTTTAGGCTAGAGAGAACCTTCTAAACTTTAAGATCTATGTTTATTCAATGAAAAAAAGAGAAAAAGAAATTAAAAGGGCCCAAGCAAAAGCTTCTCATTTTATGCAGCACTTCAATATTAAAGATCAAAAAATCTACTCATGCATTTAAAAGAATGTGAGGAAAAACCATTCCACAAAGACAGTGAAGACTAGTTGTGCCATAGATATTCTGCTGTTTAAACTTTCAGTGAACTCCCTAAAAACAGAAGGACCATTAACTCTGATGGAAATGAAGGAAAACTGAAATGAGACTTAAGGCTTAGAGTAATTAACAAATTGATGAGTAAGAAATCAGTACAGAAATTCACACAGCGTACAAATCTGGAAGTCAAGATTTGAACTCCTTTTCCACCTCTCAAGGTAATTTATTGTCCTTGATCCTGTTTCATTTATACCATTGGTAACGTGCCGATATGTGCAGGTTTAGGTTGGATATTGGAAAGAAGTTCTTTACAGAGAGAATGATCAGGCATTGGAATGGCCTGCCCAGAGAGGTGGTGGATTCACCGTCCCTGGAGGTTTTTAAGATGAGGTTGGATGTGGCACTGAGTGCTATGATCCAGTAATCACAGTGGAGTTGGATCAAGGGTTGGACTTTATGATCTTGGAGGTCTCTTCCAACCCAGTTAATTCTATGATTCTATGATAATCATGCTTGCTACCAACTGGGAAGAAGGCTGGAGAGATGTTAAAAACTATGGAAGAAACCATGTGGACAGCTAGGAACTGACACTTACTAAGTCACAATCTGTTGCCCTTTTATGCAACAAATACCTCTTTATTTTGCAATTACTCCATTTATTTCAGAGGGTCAGCAATGGGGTAAGGCAATTCACAGAACAGGTACAATCAGTCTGATACCTCTTCTGCAATTACAACTAGTGCTGACAAACTGCCACACTAACACAGCATCAAGGTGAGCCCAAATCTAGTTTAAAAAACGTATAATGAGAAAACAAGTACCATTTTGTTTGCTCCCTGCCTTCCTCAAAGCACAAAATTAACTGAAAACACAAATAGCTTTATTACTTTATATTTTTCCACTGGTATCAATGCTTGTAACTTAAGATTGTAAAGGAAAATTATATATACAGTCATATTTACAAATATATGCTGTACAGTAGCATTACGATGAGATTGATATTTAACATTTAAAATAAAATTACAGCCTTGTTAGCACAGGTAGATTGCATACTATTTTTATACCACATGTACTTTACTTATGCAAAGAAGGTGGTCTATTTCCCAAGGAAATAAATTTAACATTATAACATCAAACATAATGTTTATCAAGCTTTAATTTAGACCTACTTGAAGCTTGCCCAGTGATAGGTCCTCATCTCCAAGAAACGACAAACTACCATACCCAACCAGATGCCACCTCCATTACAAAGCAGGATGTCCAAAATGACTTGATCCCACCAGCATTCAGCAAAATTAGGCAGAAGGTGCATGAAGAAGAGCTAAAGAATACAGCAAAGAGATTCTGGGTGAGGAACAGCACAAAATTCATATAAATTCACTTTTAAGTACACATTCAAAAATCAGCTTTTCAGGACACAGCATACTTCAGTGATGTAAGCCACAAGCACTGAAATTTGACAGCTATCTTTCTATTAACTTCAGAAGGCCTTGGACAGAACCACACAAGACATCAGAGGTTTCCTTCTCACTGTTTCCTGTTGGAGCTATGCTGTATATAAGGATATCATGCAGCTCTTGGCCTCTCAAAGATGATACACAGAACATTCATAGAAATGCATTAAACAAGCAGAACTACTGCATTTCTTGGAGGAAATAAGGTGGTTTGTGCTTTAAAAGTAAGTTGAAAAGAATCTTTGTTGTACTTTTGCTAAAGAGTTTCAAGAAGTATGTTTTCTAAACAAGCAACAGTAGTAAGCGGAATGGATGCACTTGTAACAACAGCCAGTACTTAAGCATGTTGGTGTTCAGGACTAAATACTTGTTCTTTTTCAAAACTCTATCTTTCATTTATTATTTTCATCTAAATGTAGCGACTCTAAAAGATTAAGAGTTCACCAACATTTCAGACTCTACAAGCTTTGCTGCTACAATTGATCCAGAATGTGTCAAGAATTTAAAAGGACATTCTGCTCTGCCTTCCTGTTTGGTCTCTCCCAAGCACTAAAATGATGAAGGTACTTTTATGATGAAGATACTGGAAGACAGGCCAGAAAAACCCCAACATTAGATTGAAGAGCTGACAGAACTTGGATATATCAAAACCTATCCCATGCCTTCAGGAATTCCTCTGGAAAGCACACAAATCATTTACCTCTGAAGCAATTTGTTCCTTTCAGAATACTCAACTGAAGATCACTACGAGGCACTAGTAAGGCAATTAAATGTACTTAGAGATACATTTGGTGACTTTACTGATGGAGTGAGGGGAACAACAGTCCAGAGTTAAAACAAGATATAAACATAATTTACCAGGAGATAGAAATGGATTCAGTGCCTCTCCTTTAAGAGAAAATAATTGTACACTTTATTTTAAGAAAAGAATCACTGCAACCCAAAAACCAGATTAGAAAAGTTTTGCTACAGACTGGAAATCAAGACAGCCATGTGTTAAGTAGTCCCTTTGGAACACTCAAGGAGATACTTACAAAACACATAGCAAATTAAAGAATATTCTTACCTCCACGGAAACAGTAAACCTTTTGTCAGTTAGTGCACACAGACTGTTTCTGTGGAAGATTACTGATATGATTTTGTAATAAGTATCTTTTATTAACAGATGTATAAATAAAATATTGAAAAAATCAGATGTGAGAAAGGAACAAGAATGTTTTCTGTATACAGCAAGAATGAATACTAGTCCATTTATAGCACATTACAGTGACTGATATTGGCAATGACAGTTCCTTAGAAAAGTCTTGCAAACGTGTATCAAAACCACTTGTTTTACGTTGACAAGGCTATATGAATTTCAACCTGTAAAAAAGAAAAGTTGAATTTCTCTTCAGGACCCAAGCAATACAATGTTGTTCATTATCCTGCTAAAGTTTCCCTTTCACGTTTTTAACTAATTTAACCTCAAAGGGACAGTAGGCTGCAAGTCTCAGATCCAGCCAAAGACAGCAGAAATTACAGAATGTAAGGCAGTAAAGCCCAGAGCAGGGGTGTTAGCCAGACCATCTCTAAGGTGCTAGCTGCCTTCTCAGAATGAGAGGCCAAGGTCTGCCTGCATCCCAACTTTATTCCAACAGCATGGAGCATGAGCCAAGTTTCCCATTTCGTAATGGGGAGTCAGCTGTAATCCATAAATGCTAACAGGAGATGCACAGCTAAATCCCTACGTAATTGCCCTGACAACTTCTGTAGGTTTCAAATTACTCTCCTGAATTGTCTAATTCATCAAAAATCCATTTGAGTAGTGGTAACATATCCATATGTTGAACCTTATCCAATACACTGTCTGTTCCAATAATCTGCCTTTCAACAACTGGAAGACACCCCATATGGTGTCATACTGAAGACAATGGTTGTGTGATGATCAAATGAAAAATAACAGTATCAGTGAAACAAATCCAAATACATTCTTTTCCAGAGGAAAAATATGAGTACAATAACTAGAAAAATTATTTTTTTGTAGATGGGTACTTGTGAAATCCAAATCTTAAGCAATTTCAAAATAACTTAGAAAACAGCATATCCTTCAGTGCCACAGAAGAAAAACAGGTTTTGAAGAGGAACTCATGGCAGCAGTATTTTGAAACCCAAGTTTAATTTTAGACTTACCTATATTTCTGAATTATAAATACTTTGTCAGATGAGCCAAGCATTCTCAAGACAGCAAGCTTTACAGAAAACTGATTTTAAAGAATAAATTCAGGTGTTAACCCTCAGCTGCATTTCACTTGTACATTATGCATGACTATACACAATGTATAATCCTGTTGTATGTGGGGTAAGGGGATCATGACAGTAGATCACAGGTGAAAAAGGAGAACAGTTGCTCTGAATCAGGAAATATCTGAAGTAGTATGATCAGGAGAAAAATAAATTACAAATGGCACCAACAGCCCGGCCTAGATCTCCCTCCCATTCAAGCAATAATAAATCACTTACGTGAAACCCAGCTTGATGTTGTTTACTAATTCAACTGCATCAATTACTCAGCATCTGATTTATAAGGCTTATAATGTAAACCGGTGCTGAGGATTAGGGTCATCCTTCTAGTAACATTCACACTTCCTGCAAGAACACTTCGTATCTCATACATTTGCTTACAATTAAGATGCAAGGGTGGCCTACCTCAGTGAGCTCCCAGGTGATGCTGATAGTCCAGCAGAGCCCATAGCTGCGGATCAGCAAAGCCTTCATAGCCCAGCCCCAGAAATGTCCAAAAGCAAATATATCAAAGTGGCTGAGGATTCTTTCCCAGGTGATAACATGACAGTTCACTGCATACTCCTGTCATGAAAAAATAAAAAAACAAACTCAACAAAAATACTCAATCAACAGACAACTTCAGAAAAACTAGGATGAAGAAACATCTGTGTAGTGCAACAAGCCTGAAATTATAAGAGTATTAAAATAAGCATTATTTGTTTTCTTGTGCTTCTAAACTCTGCCAGAAAACTTCCAGTATTAAGACTCAGTACCATCACAGTACAGCTCTAATTTAAAGGGAGATACAATAGACCCCGGTGCCTGAAGAAGCATATATTTCTTATGTGATAGAGAAACAGCAAGAACGGTAAAATCAATAACAATAAAACAGCAAACAGTACTCTACGAAACAGTTACTTGCTCTTCTTTGAAGTTTTGATTTGAAATAACGCCCTTTCCCCATTTTCATGCTGTCTGGTATTCAGACGTGGCTCGTCAGTGGCTAATCCTCACCAGTTTGTGATGTAATGTTACTTGTACCAATTTTACTTGAGTATTTTTTGTGTCTTATTTTCCTCATGAAAGCAATTTTCCAGAACCCATTCATATTAAAGAAGTTCAGTCACAGGCCTGAACTGAAAAAATTTAAAAAAATCAAAGGGAGCTTGCAACTGTGTTGTCACAGATGAGTGACAGATTCCTTTAGAATATTAATTAATATTCTTGTCACCAATAACAGACAAAATGGGTTCTCTCAACATGTTGTACAGCAAGTGCAAGAAAACACTGCCAACAAGAAATAAAATCTGCATGCCATCAGGAGGCTACAGCTGTGGCATTCTGTTGTGTCACTAGGTATAAACTAACTATTCCTAATAAGAAACACCCATTTAAAAACCTCTGCTCTCCAATCCTCCTAAAATATACATTGCCACCTGCAGGTGACAACACAGCACTGCTCAATACCGTTAAACCAAGAATTCTTTTTCAAGCCAGAACTATTGCTAATCCCACACAAATGAACCCTGATCAAGTCAAAACAGAGATATGTAGAGAAAGATTTGAATCCAGGCAACCACAAAGAGAAGAATGCACACTGTCACACGAATCCTTCTATCAGTAGGCAGTTAAATCTCACCATAAAACTCTAAGTAACCCTTACTGCTGGTGCTCCCTGAAATGAAAGCATGGTATTGCTTCTTGTGCATGCCTATGCTGCTGCTCCTTCAGAGAAAGGTGCACCACCTGTTCTAAGGATGGTAAACCTGCAGCTTTAGTGCATGTACAGGAGAGAACCTAAATGGGCTCAATGCCAGCATGAGAAGCATGGAGGGCACTACAGAAGGTGCAGGCTCATAGCTACGACATGATATCTGTGATGAGTGAGCACTATGAGGTTACTCCAAAAGTAAGTTTTCTTCCAGGGCTCTTGCTTTTTTGCTTTTATTTGTACTGGGGCTTTTTTCCTCTCTATCTCATCTTTTCAGCTGCAGCTCTGCCAGCCACACAGTGAAATGTGTTGAACTTTCTTTTATACCAAGTAACTTTGCTGGTTCTGTGCAGGCAACCAAGTTGCAGCCTTCCTTACAGTTGCACTTTAATTTACTCAAATTTTCAGTGACAATATCAAGATTGCAAATTAGTACAGAGTAAGTTTCCACTGACTGTTAGTCAGGGAATCTGCTGTACTGTAGTTCTGTGCCAGTAGTAATACTAGTCCTCCCGTGACTTGAATCTATTTCTAACTTAAATGACAGCAGAGCCAGGCGAATCTGACTTACCAGCAGACTCCTCGTCTCAGCTCCATCTTGTTGCTCAGCAACATCACTAACGCCCATGCTCAGGCTCCACTTAGCCATGTGTCCTCCCACCACCCTAGGAGCAGGCTGCCCACGTCTCATTATCACCACAGGTCTCCTGCAGAACCTAAAGTCATGGCTCTACTCCATGTGCTGGAGTTGCACAATCTGTAGTGCTGATCAGCTGAGGTGCAATGCCTGAAACATCTCATTTTCCAGGTAAGGAGCCTGCCTGCAGCCCTCACTATTTATTCATTAATGTAACCTTACTGCACTGTAAAGATTTCCATTCCCTATTACATGTTACAGTTTGCAGCCACTGCTGATGAGGTGCTGTGCCATAGTCGGCACATGCGGTAAACTGCCCTGTGCTAAAGACAACCAATGTATTTCCTCACTCATGAGGCATGAGCCCTATAATTCTGTACAACAGGGGATCATGGTGGGCAGATGCACAAACCCAAGGGCAAGGGAACATGATGGTCAGGTGGTCAGCAGTAATTTGATGGAACAGTGAGGAAGGCAAGACTGGCAACTCCCCATGCAGTAACCCTCTTCTTGGTGCCCAACTGCTCACACTGCCTTCTGCCTGCCTCCCAACTTAACTCACATCCTTCTCCCAAGACTCCTTTTACAACCTCAGCTTCTTGTGCTACTGTCCCCACTTGAAAAGGAATGTTCTCTGTAAGGAAAATGTTTCACAAGCTGCTCAACAGGCAGAAGAACAAGCCTGACTTTCCATGGCACTCCATACTATGGTCTATGGAAGTAATTTCCCAATGGTAACAGCATCAGTGCTCAGCTGAGTCACTGGAAGGCAGAAGAGTCCTGCAGTTCTTGTACCTGCATTTCCACATACTCTGTAGCATGCCAGTCATGTACTAAGCTCGGAGCAACAAGGCAAGACCCAAGTTCTCCAATGCAGCACTGCAGCAGCAAGAAAACTGATCTGGGACACACACACCATAGAGGCTTCATTAGGTACAACTTTGTTAAGTCTGTTTTCAGTATCCAGGCTCATATCTATTACTTAAAGGAACTCAAAGCCACCCTGCTGCAGACATATATCCCATTTCCAATTGCACACTCATCTGAACACCTGCATTAGAAAAAAAAGATTTTTTTCACACCAGTTAATTTCAATGTAAAAAAATAGTTGATGACACAAAAGGCTTGATAACTGTCAAGTATAGGCACAAACCTGCACTGCTCATGCCCACAAATCCAGATTTATCCCTTTCCACTTAGGTAAAACACACCTGAAGTAGTCAAAATGTACAATAAGGTGCCATGGATACATACCATAATATCTGCTTCCCTTGTGGCATATCGAAGATTAGGATCCAGCCAGTACATCACTGCTTTTACCTGCTCAAAGTTAAGGAAGAGCACGAACACCAGGAACAGAAAATAGAGCACACTGAGACCTGTAAAAAGATTCAGCTTTAAAATCAAGTTCACTCATAAAACCCCATGGAACGCAGAGAGTCCAAAAAGCTGCTTTCAAACTTGCTCTACATGTGCCTAGTTTGCACAGATGAGTTTCTACATAAAGCAGCTACATGCAAAAAAAAGCTGAAGAGACAAGTCAGATCTCTGAGCACTTAGCCCTTCATATCACCTCCTGAGAGAAGTGATACCATATATGCTCCACTGCATGAACCTAATCAAAACAAAATCAGTCTAATCAGTTTAGACACGTAGTACAAGTCTGTAATCAGGAAGCTCTTTAGTAAGAGATACATTAGGATCCATGATTGGATTAGCTCTGCTTCTTTGCTTTAAGTATTCTTGGTCTCAACTAACACATGTCTAATGCCTATATGCAGATTTCAACACAAGGATCAATTTAATCAGGCCACCTGGCAATTCTGAGCTGTGCTGGCAATAAAGAGTAATTATAAATATAAACTAATGCATGTTTGAGTTACTTTTGTGAGCTGGAAAATTCGCTGCTTGAAGCTTTTAAAGATAAATATTATTTATTTTCTCACCATTATAAATTATTAAACACTTGCATTTGGGAGTACAAGTTCTCTCCTCCCAAAGCCTTTTTTTTTAAAAAGAAAAACTTGTTGCAAGTTGAGTCCTGGTTACAGACCCGTGGGTAGATGAAGGTGTTGTTGGGAGCATATCTTTACAATATTCACAGGTTCACCGATATCCAAGAGCACATCTGGAAGAGGCATATAAACACTATTTCCATAGTCTCAAACTTACTTGTATCCTGCAGCTTTGTCATGGAAGGCAGAAAGATTAATGTGAATAAACTTAGTATCTGCCATCCAAAATAAACTACAGCAATTCTAAAAAGGTATTTTAAACTATAACCAGAACTCATGTGTTAATAATCCCTGGGTTATGCCAGAAAGTGACTTTCGTTCAAGTACACACAAAGAGTCCTCTGCAGCCCCTCCTAAAAACACATCAGGTAAACAGGTGTCACACTACTACAAGAAGCACAGCCTGCAGGTGAGGGAGCATCCTGAAATGTGGAGGACACGCTACTCCTTGCTTTCATCTACTGAACAGGTCTGAGAACTGAAGCGCGGCTAAATGAACCATGCCAGAAGAAGCAGAATTACACAAGGAAAACGTTGCTCTTGATTTTGTGTGCAGCCTTTTCCCAACAGTACAAGGAGTCAAGCTCTGACAGCATCAACATTGAGAATGACCTTTTACTTTACATTTGCTGAAACCAGAAATGAGCAGCAGGACCTGAGTTTCCCAAACTTCCAAGAAGCAGGATTCTTTAACAAGTACTATCTAGTCAGCAATATCCTCTCAATGTCAACAGATGAGTAATCAGCTACTTTGAGAGGCTACTTATTTTTAGCTATATAAGGAGAGAGAAACATTCAGTCCCCTTAAAAATAAACAGATCAGATTTAAATCAAATGTGCCTAATTCCCTGCAAATATGCAGTCTAGGATATGCTCTGTGAACCGTGAATTATTTAAAAATGAAATTCCTTACATTTTTGCTGCGTAATTCAGATATTTAAGGAGCAGGATTTCACTTTGTTAGTTCTGTAGTTAATTGACCTGTTTTCCGAACTACAAATGCAATGGATATTTACAGGTACTTTTAATGAAATTATAAGTTAAGAATATGAATATATATGTTACAAATATTAATAAAGGTATGTTAAGCTATACAATGATACAACTTAATAAGCATATAAACTAATACCATATTTTGCCAATAATGAAAAGAAGCACCCTACTCAATTGGATTTAAAGTCAGATAGTATATGCAGTAGCTATAAAAATGCCAAACCTTTTTGGGGTTGGAAGAGATGGCAGTAGGAAAGGTGTCGGGGAAGGAGATTAGGAAGCACAAACACAACAGGATTAAAACAATATCAGAATTAATGATCTCTTTTTGATGATTCAATTTACATCATCCTGACACAGTAACTACAATGAAATTCCCAAACACAACTATGAATAGATTTTAAGCAACTGCTCAAAAGTAGGAGAAGCTTCATAGAGGCTTGATGCACAATTATGTTTCATGATAATTCCATTTATCAGAAAGTTAAAATAGCAGATCCTGAAGAAGCAGTGAAAAAGTCAAAAACACATCTTAAACTTACCAAAAACCATCCTCCATATTGCAGGATGGGGACGTGTAAAGGGTCCTGTGGATAGTAAAACCAAAAGCTTATTAGCAGTCAGTCAATAAGAATCACAAAATTTGTTTTTGGGTATATCTCATCTGAGAATTTGGTAAAGATCAATTCTCCATCAAACTATGAAATATACCTGAAAATTGAGGCTCTGTGTTAAAAAAAAAAGTAACAGCAGATTTCAGAGTGCAAAAAGGAGACTGCCAATTAGTAGTGTGCAGACAAGATTTTCCACTAATTTTATGGAGTTGTTTTCAGAACAGAAGGATGCCATTTGTTCAGCAGATACCACATCTCAAGTGTCACCTGGGGATCTCCTGACCTGGTTTCTAGACTACAGGTCACACATAGCTTGCTCCCACTTAAGTCAACAAATATAAATTTCTGTGTGTTACCATAGACAAGTGGTGCTGAGCCTTCAGACCAACATGAAATGTTACCAAACAGGCCTCCTGAAGCTTCCAAGCTGAGCATCATAGGTATCTCACAAGAAGTAAAATACCTATGCTCTTTACCAGTGTCCATATAATTTACTTGATCAAACTGATTTATTAGATTAAACAGAGAAGGTAAGTCTGATGAAACTGGAAAACCTCTAAACATGAATCACACATTTAGGTAGTAAGAAGTGGCTGAAAAATATTTTCAGCACACATTGAGGACTGCTCTTTCACCACTGTGTGCACAAAGCTCATTTTTCTCTGGCATTCAGTTTTTCAGGGAGCACTTTGTGAAAAGTGTGGATCAAGGATTTTTAACATATGGGAAAAACACAGGCCACCTCTGAAGTACAAAGCTGCCCTGACCACAATCTTTCTTTTCCTGAACACTGCCAATTGTGAGGCAGTTTGGACTTGAGACAAGAATCATGATTCTCCTGAAAACAATCATAATAATAATAATAATAAAAATATAAAAAAACAAAACATGCAAACCAGGTAGAAGCATTTTTTCCACAGTATTGACACACAAATTTGTTTACCTTTTTGCACTTACTGCTCCTCACACAACTACCAAAACTTTTGTCCAACTTAACCTTCTCCTGAGCAACTGTGGGTTTGCATTTTAATGTGACTTAGACCATTTCTATCACTACCTTCTGGTAAGGTGCTGTATGTAAGGTGTTGTCTCTGAGAATTTTTAGAATGACACTTCTGTTAAAACACACTGAGGCAGAGTCCTTTTAAACATTATTTAAGGGTTTGTTGGCATCATTACTCAGCAATCTGAGTTGCAACTGCACAGCTGCAAATAGGACACCGATTCTGAGAACCTGACTTCCCTGTTAAATACAGATAAGCTATAAATAACATATTTTATTGTTATCTCTGCTCAGGATGACTGCAAACCATTTTTAGACTGTTCCTTAACATAAAGGAATTCAAAAGAGTAAAGAAAAAGTACACTGAAAATTGGTATTTAAGTAAAAATCAAAATACAGTGGCAATAAAGAGAAATTCACATGTAAAAATAAGTGAAGTGTAAACTGTGTAAACCTTACTCACCATTAGGAAAAGCCAGAACACTGATGATTAGAAAGAAGAAAATCACAGAGAGGATACCCCTCCAAATATTATCCTCTGGTACGGAATCATCCCTAAAGAGACAGAAAACAGTGTTCAAGTACATTATGAGGATGAAGTCAGAGGGCTCTGAAGAGATATTATTTAAATAAAGACTACAAGGAAATTAAATATAAAAAATAGATGCATGCTGATTATATAACAAGTTAAGATAGTAACTGCACTGAATGATTTTCACACTACACTTCTGGGCGTCCCTTTCTCTCAAGAGAGTTAAATATTTAATCAGCATATGCAAGCCATAAGCATTGTTAGAAGTCAGTGTAGAAGTAATGACTAAATTTAACATAAGGTGAGAAAATCTTCCTGCTTTAATGTTCACAGAAACATCACCAAAAGTACTTTTACACAGCAAACAGACCTAAACCGAAATCTTTGGAAGCCTGGATGCAATTTCTAGGTTTCTCTCTGCTGTTTTGGTGGTACTTCACTTGCCTTTGCTATTCCCAGGGCCCAAATGCCTGAGGTGAGTGCAGAGAGGGCAGAAGTAATGACTATAATCAGCCTTTGGAAATAATGAATATACAGCTTAGAATCTGTAACAGAAACAAAGTACAACCCAAAAGAGACAAGGAAAAATATTAATTTGCTTCTAGATCTATTAAGCCAAAGCTCTGAATAAAATAGCTGGTATTATTTGTGCTACTGCCATATTACGGCCAGAGGAGAGACCCAAGAATTCAGTTTGGAATGCCAAGGCAAACTTGACTAAGTTATTCTTTTTTAGGCAGGTAGAATACAGTGCACAGCAGCAAGATTAACCCTCACCCAAGTCTTCTAATCAGCAGACAGCTTCTGGGATACTTCCGTAATACAAACAGAAATAAACTTCAGACTACCATAGCATGAACAACTAATACTTCATAATCTATTAACCATTACAACTGAAGTTAAAGTTTTACTATCTGGGTAATTTTCATGTATTTAGGATTAGTTTACCTGTTTAAGTATATTCCTTTACTTATTCCCAACATGATAATAAAAATTTCCCAGCAAACTTTAGAGGGAGAAAGCTCTTCCTGGCAGATTATCTGTCAAATTTCTGGATGGATCAGTAAAGAACTCATGATGGCATAAATGCTCTCCACATTAGATATTTGCTGTAGTAGAAAATATTTCTCACTTAGCCAAATTATTTTTCTTTTGCTCAAAATTGAACCTTAAGAGCGCCAGAGCAGGCTTTCATCACTGTGAGGCATTTAAGCACTGTATCAGTTTAACTGTGTGGCAGGTAAAATACATTAAACTTGAATGGTTTCTCTGCAGGCCTTTGGGACTCCCCACAGCATTTTTTTTAAAACCAGCTGAGTCCAGATTTACCAGTCATTTTCCAGCAGCCACGCTGCACAGGATGACACTTTACACCAGCTATAAACCCCAAGTTCCAGAGCTTAACTATGGCTCCCTTGGCAATCCCAAGAGCCCCACGCCACCCAGTGCACTTCCTAGCCAAAGCCTCAGGCTCCGATGGCTCAGACAGCAAAACCATATTCTTCTTTTAACGCAGGCAAATAACACACACCACTGTGCTGTCACGGCTGCCACCACGAGGATGAGCATTTTTGTAAGAGAGAACAAATAATGAGACTCACATAACATCAATTCATCATGGCCAAGAAAGAAGACACTGTGATCGCATCACTTCATTGTTGCACAACCCAGATGACTCACCTTTGTGCATCAAGATTCTGAATCCTACTCAGTTTCAGGAAAGCAGTCCAAGTCATATTGGCACTACCCCGAAAATCAGCAAAGATGCTGTATGCAGTGTTAAACTGTGTTTCATTCCAAGTGGGTAGCAAAGGCATTTCATTTTGGCTTGCAGATACCTTTCAAAAGATATATCCAATCTCCTTGCCAGAAGCAGATAAGAACAGGTGAGAGCAAGAAACTCACTGCTGTGCACTAGTTAGTATAGTGTGTGCCTGAAAAAAATATTTTGGGGAGTGCCAAAAGGAAAGACACAATTACGACAAGCTGCAATTGGGAAAATGTGCTAAATCATCTCCTCATTTAGCCCCATAAACGTTGATGCTGATTTTGAAATATAAGCATTCATGCAGCAAAAACAAGGTTTCTAATGCTTGTGTGGGAGGACAGATGAGAATTCTCTCAATTTTAACCCACTTTACCATGGCATATTTCAATTCTGTGACTTTTTAGAGAAGAAATAATAAAAACCAAAGCACATAATATTTATTTCTCTCCTGCTCTTCTTGAGAGCACTACGTATATGTCAACTAGTAATTTATTTAGATCACAAAGAAAAAAGGATACTCAGTTGAGTTAAAAATAGCTAAGACATTAAATTTGGAAAAGGGGTGGAGGTGGGGGAGAAATCTTCCACAAAATCAAGGAAACCTAAATGTATAATAATCCAGTTTAACCAATCCCATTAATTAAGGAACATGAAAGACAACAGCCCTACATCCTCATAGGTCTTACTCCCGCTTCCACAAACCCTTGCAACTTCATGGGAGAAGCTACTAGTCTGTCATCTTTCTCAGTCCCGTTGTTGTGTCGCACAAAATATCCCCTCCAGCACCCACCTGCCCTCCTGCTGGTTGCCTCTGGGCTCAGAGAAAGCCACATCCCTCTCTCTAGGGTAGAGGAGGACAGGGAAAGCTGCAGCCACTCCATGCCTCTGCTCCAAGGTGCAGGGTAGAAGCAGGGGAGCCTGTGTCTGGCTCATTCACCAGGAAATAACCAAGGCAGCTGCAGCCCTTGTCAGAAGCACTAGAAGGATGTGCTTTAAAGAACAGAACATCCTCTATTCCGCACTTTGTAAAAGTGAAATTAAACACACATTTTTTTCCTAGATTATTATTATCACTATTGCTACCTGAAGATTACTGCTACCTGAAGTTCAGCCTCACCCTTATCTGTCAGCTCAAAGACAGTATCAGCTGCTCCTCAGTGATCCTAATGGAAACTCCACATTTTGGCTTGGTACATACAAGGGAAAAGCATTTTCCAAGTTTCTCTGACACAAAACAAGTATAGAAGTGATAAGAAAGACTTTAAGGGAGGCAGAATTTCCTTTGATGAAGTTCCTGAAAAAATAAATTTTACTTAACAACATCAGTATGAATGTATCACAGAAAATCCCCCGCTTAATAAACTGACCAGGAGAGCTACGGAACAACTGACAGCACAGGGGAAGCAAAGAATCACTTGGGACACCTTCGTGGGAAGGCTACAGTGCCTTTCATCCAGAAGATGGAAAAATGAAGTCACTGGAGACTCAAGGCAATAAGCTGATGGAAACAGAAAGACCAGACCTGGGAGCATACACTGTAGCACATGAGGAAGTATCTCCCCTCTCCCACTTTCTCAGAGACTGCATACGGTTTGAGTAGTGTCCCAAATAAGGCACAGAGGCAGCACTCTGATATCAGCCATTCTGATTTAGGAAACTCCTACAATAGTTAAAATCAGCAAAAGGGGGAGAGGGGAGAAAATAAAATCCGAGTAGCTTCCACAACCTGAGAAGAGGAGAAACAGAGAAGATATAAAGAGAAATCAACTGGCATTTAAACACAGGGAAGTAAGGCAGAGATAGACAGAGGGAAGTAAATGAAACTGAAGAAGCTGGAGTTAGAAAGCTAACAAAACAAATGGAATGAGAAGCTAGCAATACTCTTGGAAAAATGCAATCAAACATCCCAGAAGCAAAGGAGTATTATTTGGGACTAGAAGACACCATAGTTCTGAAATCGTTCTTGGCTCATCCTCTGCTTGAAAGAATGGGCAAAATTTCTTCCCCAAAGGTGAGTCATCGGTTCCATTAATCCTTCGGAATGATGTCTTGATGAGAATGTCTTAGTAACTCACAAGTTTGACCTAAATTGTCCCTTTGGAAGGAAAAGTGATCTGGTGAGGGGAGACAGGGTAAGAGGAGCACTTGTATCAAAGGTCTGTAATTAAACATGGCAGCAAAGCACAGAAACATGTCTCTGATTTAGGAGTTAAGAAGGGAACCAAGTAGAACAAGGGATCTGTTCAAAAATATCTTCCTTGGGGCTATGCACAAGATGAAACAAGAAAAGGTACTCCTCAGACCATGTGCAGTTACACTATTCTACATTTCCTTATGCTCCTGTCTCAGCTCAAGCCAAGCTTGACCATTATTTCTACAGCTAGTAAAAACATACATTTGGATTCTTAGAATGAAATGTAAGATTACACACTATACTGTATATGTGGCCTAGGGATAAATCCCAATTTTCTTACATCTGATGGTGAGTTTAAGCAACAAGGCCATTGAAATCTGCACTTGTGCGCACACAATGCCACAAAAGTTTAAGTGAGCCCCAAGCATAATGCACTACTGAGTCAAAACCTCCCAGGAATCACTGTTTGCTTACAGACTGCACGATTTACTCTAAAGGAAGATTGTGCAATCCCCTTCACAACCCCATTCAGTAGGAGACAGTAACAAGCACGTACAACTTAGAACAATATGCACGATACTCATCAGGCTGCACTGCTATACCCTTTGCTTTCAATCAAGGCTCTTGAAAAAAACTGTGCCCATTCCTAGCAGCATTGCCATGACTGCACGGGCGATGACCACAGAGCTTTTCCTGTGGTGTGCAAAGGATGCGGCTAACCCTCTCAGTGCCAGGGCCTGAGCCGACCTGTGACTGGCCACAGAAGTGTGCTGTGCAGAAAGGATGCCACACAACACTCCCGTCCACTGCACGCTCCTAGATCATCTGCTTGAGTGATGTCACTGCTGGGACGCCTGATAGCCCAGTAAAAGCCATTTTTGGCAACTACTTGAAATGTATTTTATAAAGACTTCAACAGAGAGCCTCGAAACGATCACCAAGTTCCCAGGAACCGCAGTGGGGAGGACAGCAGCTCTGGGAAGGAGAAGAAGATGCCCGCTCTCCAAACATGGGCCTCCCGCGCACGGGGCTCCGGCACACTCGGTCCGGGAGCGCCCGGTGGGCACGGCCCGGCCCCGGCAGGAACCGCGGTGCCCGTGCCCGTGCCCGCCCCGGGGCCGGGCACTGACCGGGCACTCCCCATCCCTGCCCCGGGAATCCCCTTCGCCCGGGGGCCGCCGACATCGGGGGCGGGGCGGGGGATCCCCGCGGCGCCACGCACCTGGTGAAGGCGAAGGCCATGAGGCTGAGGATGGTGAAGCTGAGGAGGGTGATGGTGTGCGGCCGGTAGAAGAACTCCAGAGTGATGTCCTCCACCTGCTGCTCATTGATCATGCGGAAGTGCAGGCGATAGTTCACGTCGTTCTTGCTCAGGGTCCGGCTCCCCACGCACGACGCCATCTCGCCCCCTCTTTTCCCCTCGTCTCAGCGCAGCTCTAGCTCTCCCGGGGCCGGGCGGCGCGGCCCGAGCCGGCCTGGCCGCCCGACCGCGCCGCGTCCCGCTGCGGGGGCCGAGCGGGGCCGAGCGGGCAGCGCCGCGCCCGCCGCGCTGAGGGGAGCGCAGGGCAGGGCAGGGCAGAGGCGGAGCTCGGCCCGCCGCGCCCACGCGGCGAGGGAAGGACGAAGGCAGCGCCGGAGAGGGGGAGGTGGAGCCACACTGCCCCCTTTGAGCAAGCGGCGGGAAGCGCTCTGGTGTCTGTGAGTTCCCCTGGCCCCCCTCCTTTCTTCCCGGATGGTCTCGCCCGGGTCGGGCTGGGGGCGGGGCACACACGTGGTCGGGCCGCGCCGAGCGGGGCAGGTGAGGCGGTGGTGGGTTTTGGGGGTGTCCCGAGGGTCTCCCGAAGGTTTCCACGTTCTCCTGCACACCCAGAGGCTGCTGGCATGGGGAGGCCTGCGAGGGGCGGTGAGCGTGGCGCGCCCGGCCCAGCCTCCCGTGCCCTGTGGCGGGTGTGCGGTGACTGCCCTGCGCAGAGGGCCCCGTCCCGCGGGGAGGGTTCAGGCCCTGGCCTAAACGCCTTCCCCCGGCCTCCCGAAGGGACAGCTGTCGCACAGGACGGCGGGCAGTGGCCTTCAGACCCGGCTCCTCTCCCCACTTTGGCTTTCTCCGTTTGCCACGCGTTTTAAGCCTTAAAGCATCTCCTTGGTGCTTTGTAGTGAGCCACTGCTGTAGCGTCAAGGGGATTCGCGCTCCAGGCTCTGCGGCCACGCCGGCAGCGCCTGTGCCGCTCCTCAGCCCTTCTTCTCCCGGCAGGATGCTGTGTTGAGGTGGGACATGGCTCTGTGGGCCCGGCAGGCCTCCCGCTGGTGCTGCCTGCTGAATGCGTCCCGCGCTCCCGGGTTTGCTCGGAGGCTGAGGAGCTGCGGGAGCCCCGCACGGACCTGCCGTGAGTTCGCCCCTCTGGCTGTGCTGCCCGCCGGGAAGGACGGTGTGCTGTGGAGACTGCAGGCGTTCAGGCATGCGTCTGTAGGAAGCTGTTCCGCGCCCGACAGTGCCAAGGATGGATCTTTCTCTTCTGTGGAAAGCAATTTGCCTTCACCAGTAAGAGAGGAACAAGCAAAGGTGGAAACATTACCTGATCTGAATGCAGAAACACTGGATGAAGGTAAGAGGCGTTAAGGGATATAATTTCTCACGATTCTTCAAATCATGCTTTCAGTATGTTGTGGTTTAACCCCAGCAGGGTTATTTTTTGGGGGGCCGTTTATCTAAAACACTTATCTAGAGTTCCTGACTTTCACTTATTTTAGCCCCGTAGTTAATACAGATATTCTTGTGGTCACTGTGGTATCTAAAGAATACCTTTGAGATGAAGACGAAATGTTTTGGGTAAAAATGTAGGTCTGGAGCTGCCATTTGAAGTGTTTTTCTTTTGATAAAATGCTCAACTGCAGCAGTTGAGCATTTGCCTTTCCCTCACAGATGTGCTGATACAAACTAAGATGATCGGTTTGGGTATTTTGGGGGGTTTTTTTGGGCAAGGCTGGGGGAGTCCACGCCTGAAGCAGCTCATGCAATACAGCCGTTTGAATGATCAGGAATGAACAACAGGAGGCAGCAGTGTGAAGCCTGCTTTAAGCACTGCTCTGATGAGAAATGCTCGTCCAGCTGTCTCCTGAGGAAAGGAGATGAAAGAATATAAATACAATGTGCAACTCTTCCTGGAACATTAAGATCGTGCTACCTACTGTGGAATCTGTCTTGGTAGTTCTGGTGGGTCTTTGTTTTCTTGACATGGAAGAGTGTTACCCCAGTCTCTAGGATGACATTGTGCAAAGGTACAGGGGAGAGAAAATCACTTTTCCTGAAATGTATAATCAGGGCTGTTGATCAATAATCAATCTGATAATTGAGGAGGATGCTAGCAGCCAGCCTGGAAACAATAAATCTAGCTGCTGTGAGCTCCTGACAGTGGAAGAATAGATCCATTTAGAGAAGTATTTATTAAAGGACACTGAGCTCTGTGACTTGGAACACTTAGAGGGAAACAAGCATAATGATGTTCTCTTTGAAACCTTAGTAAGAAATGGAGCTTGATTTCTTTTGCTTTTAATGGTGGTGGCAGTCAGCAGCCATTCTGCAATGGATAAAACTCGATAGCTTGGTTGGAGTTGGCTGTGAAATGCAGTTATTTTAACTTAGAGTATATTTCAGGCATTAGATTCAAAAGAGGCATAAAGTAGTGGGCTTGTTAGGTTATGAAGAATAATCTTTGCAGTAGCCTTTTTTCTGGATATGATCAGGCAAGAATGCACTTGTGAAGACATGAAAGAAAATTCTTTTTCAAGAAGGTGATGCGATCTGCAGTGATCAAGGCAGCAGACTGAAGGCAGGCAGGCTGGCTGGGTACTACACTGATTTGGACACATGAGCAAGAGCTGATGAGCAGTGACAAGGAGATGGAACAGAGGCAAAAACTGGGAGTAGAGTATGGTTTCAAATAATAGGTTGAATGTTCATCTTATGCACAGTGTTCTTGCATTTGGAACTGGATTTTAGAAGATCTGTAAAGCATTTGATAGGAGCAGCTTTGTCTTTCACAAAATGCATTTGGGTCATCTAAATTTGTTTCTTAGATTGGGATGACATCCCACCTTCATCTGCCTTGGAAGAGATTTCTGAGGAAGAAGCTGTACAGATCATTGCAGAACCAATTCTTCCCCCTCGGTCTACCACTCTCCGAGATTATGTTGATCATTCAGAAACCCTTGCAAAGCTTGTCCACCTAGGTATGTATGATTTTGTTTGTGTGGTTTGCCTGTGTCTGGAGCTTTGGAGATTCTTGTGTTTTACTGGTTCCCTTGTAAACTTGAAGGCAGGAATGGTGACCAGTGGCAAAAAGCAGCAGAATATTATCCAGGGTAAGTGGAAAAAGAAAGGGACTATGTCACTCACTAGTAATCCCATATTTCTTGAAAACAAAGCTGGCTAGTTTTAGTCCCTTAGTGCTTTGGGTTCCAAAAGGAGGTGTTTCCCACAGCTTCTGGAGGTGGGGAACACTCTGTGTAACTTAATTGGTTGTTTTTCTTTTGGGCTGTCTAAGGTTGATTTAATTTGCTACAAAAGAAAATGCAGTTCTCCATCCGTGGAAGGAAGGAGAGTGGTTGCTGTGCAGAACCTTAGAAGTGGGGCACAGTAAACTAGAAGCAAGAGTGAAGGATGGAAAAGAACCTTACTTTTCATCAAAAAGCACTTGGGACTGCAGGTATATCTGAGTTCAAGGTTGATGGCCACCTCCTTGTTGCCCAAACATGGAACACTAGAAGAAGGTTGGAGAAATAAGTATTTGAGAGGGGGGAATCCAGCCCCATATAGTAGCAAATTACTATGTGTGAGTCAGTATACAAAGGCACTTCACTGCACAATTGTTCCTTTCCCTTGTAATAGAGTTGGAATTTCTTGCACACATACTTCTTTGCAACAAGAGCATATTGCACATGCAGGATTCACTGCAAATGTCTTCCTTCAAAAAATAAACTCAGCAAAAGTGTCTAAAATGACTGCTTGTTTTATCTGGAATCTTTCCACAACACACAAGGTGTTACGACCTTGCTGTGTTGAACAGTTAAAGTATGCCAAATCAGTGCAAAAAAAGTCCTATAAATTCCAACATGCCTTTGTGAAACATTTACAGGAAGTAGGGTCTGAGTTTATTTAAAACAATTTTTAATTTTGTTTGTTGTAGGAGTTGACCTATCCCAAGTGGAAAAACGTCAAAAGGCAGGTCAGCTCTTACTGACCTTGGACTTTGAAAAAGATATAAGAAAAATACTTCTGTTTCTTAAGGATGTGGGTGTAGAAGACAACCAGCTGGGACCATTCCTGACCAAAAATCCATACATCCTTGGTGAAGATCTGGAAGCTTTAGAAACCAGGTAAGACTTTCAAATAGCAGCAGGGTGTTAAGCCTCTTGGCTTGAAGATCTGCTTTCCCATTTGGCTTAACCGTGTCTGAATGATTGTGTGTTGCCTCCTGCTTCCTTTCTGACTCAATCCCTGGCTCTGTGTTCTTGTGCCTTCCCATCTGTTGGCACTAACGTGTGGTGATATCATACGCTGAGTCAACACCTTGATCTGCCTGAAAACTGACCATTTACAAATTTTAACTGCCCATCCCTATCTCTCTGCTACAGAGGAGGAACCTTTCCCTCCTAGGCCACTTGCTTTACTTGTGTCAGCTTGGATTCCAAAATGTCAGTCCCTGAGGCTTTTGTAGAAAAATATTAACCTCTTCAGTCTTGATTTGAAACTGCTCTTCTAGATGCTACATCTGCCTTGTGAATTCTGCAGTAAAAGAAACAGACCAGATCTCTTCTGTGATGACATCTAATAGTAGCAGAAGGTTTTGGTGACACTTTTTTTTCCTGTTGTCCATCTCAGACTGAACACAAGACTACAATGAACTGATTTGCGTGTGTGTTTTCATTCACACCTGTATGGCTCTACACTGTTCCTCAGTCCCTAAAATGGACTTTTATTCTAAACATTACTTCAAATTCAGCAGTTTATTTCAGAAGAATTCATGTATGTAAATGTAGATGCATTTTTTAATGAACTCAAAACTTGTAAGTATTTAAAATTTCCAGAAAAGAAAGTCTGTCTGCTTGGCTCTTGCATGTAGTAGCTGTCCAAGGCAGAAATCTGAAAGTACAGATATTTGGAAACAGGCACATGAATAGACTCTTGGGTAACATAGACCTGACTTCTTTCTTCTCTGTTCTTCAAACCTCCTGTTCAGTAAGTGGCCTTTCAGAAACAATACCCAAAAAGAACATGTGCAATTTTTCAGCAGTAGTTTTGAGTCTAGATATCAGAGTTGTTTATGCTCTTCTGAAAACAGTATATTTTTTTTGCTATGATTAATTTTCTAGCACTTCTGTGAAGTCAAATTTGGTTTTCAGTGACAGTCCCGTGGCACTGAAAAGCAAATTTGTGAAGTAGGGACTGAACAGAGCAGTCCAATTTCTCCTTAATTTTCTGCATTACAGTTCTTCAGTAAGTTTGA